CCCAGGCCCAAGGGATTCTCGTGCCTCAGCCTCCCAAGTAGCTGGAATTATAGGTGTGCACCACCACACCCTGTTAATTATCATATTTTTAGTAGAGACGGGGTTTCACCATGTTGCCCAGTCTGGTCTAGAACTCCTGACCTCCAGTGATCTGCCTCGGCCTCCCAAAGTGGCGGGATTCCAGGTGTGAGTCACCGCACCTGGTCTAATTTTGTATTCTTAACAGAAATACGGGTTCACCATATTACACAGGCTGGTCTCGAATTCCTGAGCTCAAGTGATCCACCTGCCTCCACCTCCCAAAGTGCTGGGATTACAGGAGTGAGCCACCACACCCAGCCAGTAAAATCTTAATATGATTATCTTTGGGTGAAGTGTTGTGAGTGTTTTTTTCCCTTCGTTTGGCACGGCTGCATTTTCAGAGGACCAGCAATGAATATAGATTAGGTCTAATTTTAATTTTTTTTATTACACAAGTAATGCATGAAGACAGACTCATGGTGAAATATTCAAACAAAACACAGAAGGTCAGCCTCATCTTTAGCCACCCACTACCACACCAAGACCTGTCCCTCCTCCCCCATGAGCACTGTCCCAAATTTAATGTCATTTTTCTCAGTCCTTCTCCTGTGCATCTTGCTCACTGCTCCCTGCTCACTCCAGACCAAGCACCCTGGCCCCACTTCCTATTCCCCATAGGTCCACCAGTCCCTTCTTGCCTCGGGTTCTCACCCAGGCTATTCCCAGGTTAAAGACCCCCCTCTTCCCAGGTTGATTCTCTTTCCTCTTTCAGGTCTTGGCTTAAATGCCACAGTATCTAAAACCAATTTTGCCTTTCTTGTCATAATTTTCCATCCTTTGCCTCCATAGAGCTTATCAGACCAGAAACCCAGAAGTTAATCGTGTGGTTGTTTTGGTCCATCTTCCCACCAGACTGGGAGCCCAGGATTCCTCCCCTCCTCTCCCCTCCCCTCCCCTCCCCTCCCCTCCCCTTCCCTCTAATCTCTCCCCCTCCCCTCCGCTCCCCTTTCCGCCCCTCTCCCCTCCCCTTCCCTCCAGTCTCCCCCTTCCTTCCCCTCCCCTTCTCTCCCCTCTCCCCTTTCCTCCCCTCTCTTCCTCTGGTCCATCATGTTCTTCTCTGTGTCTTCAATGCCAAACACAGTGCCCAGCACATACCAGATGCTCAGTGAGGAAGAATGAATGAAGGAATAAATGAGACATCCTCCAGAAAGAGGGAGAAGACGCAGCCTGGAAACCAGAGAGAAAAGATACAGAAGTAAGGCAGTATGGAGAGGGGCAAGGAACTCCTCTCAGGGGAAACCCCACCAGCAAGGAGTCCAGGAAGGTGGTGGTGGCACAGAAATCGCTAAGAAGATGAACATCTAATTTCATCCCTAAATCTTGACCCCAAATCTCAGTAAAAAGCTTGTGCTGCTCAAGTGAGTGATCCTTGAGAAGCAGGTAAAGGAAAAACTGAGCTGCTCGTGAATCCACATAGAGGTGGAGAGAACAACTGCAGGAGGTCGGGGCGACCCAGAGAAACACAAGCCCCTGAGAATCCCCGGGAATCTGGGCCGGGTGGGGACACTGTGGGTCTTCATGATGGGGACTCATGGAAGGGAAGGGTGACCCCACAAGGCTGGAGGAATTTGGGGACACCATTTTCCTACCGGATTCATCACCTAAAACTTCGGAGGAAAAGAACATTAGAAAAGAATCAGAAATAGGCCAGGTGCTATGGCTCATGCCTGTAATTCCAACACTTTGGGAGGGCAAGGCAGTGGATCACTTGAGGTCAGAAGTTCGAGACCAGCCTGGCCAACATAGTGAAACCCCATATCTACTGAAAATACAAAAAATTAGCCGGGCGTGGTGGCATGCGCCTGTAATCCCAGTTAATTGGGAGGCTGAGGCAGGAGAATCGCTTGAACCTGGGAGGTGAAGGTGGCAGTGAGCCGAGATTGCGCCACTGCCTCCAGACTGAGCAAAAGAGTCTTACTCCAACTTGGAAAAAAAAAAAAAAACAGAAAGAAAAAATCAGAAATAACACACAAAAGGAGGTGGCTCATTCCTCTTGGGGGAATGAGCGGGGGGCAGCAGGGCACACAGGGAGCAAGCCTGGGCTTTGGACTTAGGTAAGTTTTGGGTTCAAACCCCAGGTCCACCTCAGCAGCTTTAGTTCCTCATATGGAGAGTGGGCACAGTAGCCATTATTGACATCGGATGTTGACAGATGACATGAGATAACACATCTCTAAAGCACTAGCTGGCACGCCTCTGGCCTCCCTCACAGTGGGTGGAGAGAAGGGAAGACACAGGCCAGTGCAAACAGCAGGGGACTTTGTGTGTCTGTTCGAGTACATGGCCAGCTTCTGGGATGTGTGTCCTCTGCAGCCACTGCGGCCCATGAGAAGGCCCCTGTGCTTGGCTGGACAATCTGCTATCATGGCCTTGAAATTCTTAACTTCTGATCAGGGGACTTTACATTTTCATTTTGTCCTGGGCTCTGCAAATTAAATTGTATAACCAGTGATGCACGTGTGGGTGTGTGGGTGCGTGCAAGTGTGTGTGTGTGTAAAGGAGGGGGAAGGAATGCTGCAGTGGGTGCTCCATGAAGGGATGTAACTGACAGCAACCACACCCCCAGCCGGTACCCACCCCACAGTCCTGAGCCAACCCCACGCACCAATAAGCTCAGGCTTTGCCTGACAATAGCCCCTCTCAGTTCCAATTAATAAGAAAAACAAACCCTCCTAGCCTTTGGGCTGTTACCCAAACACCCCACACCCACAGGCCAAGGCCCGACACCCAGCAGTTCCATCTGTGGGCTCCCCACGGATTTTCCCAAGGTCCCTTCCACCTCAAGAGCGGTTCCACCAGCCCAGGAGGCTGACTGCTGGGGTTTTCATACTCTGGGCATGCAATCTGCTCACTCCCACAGCACTTCTGCACGGCTCTGTATCGGCCCCCACACCACCCTGTGCACACCCTAAGTGATGGGTTGACTACTCTGTCCTCCCTGGAACAGAGGTAAGCTGCCTGAGGACTGGAGCTGGGCTGTGTTTAAATCTCTGTGTATTTAAAGCCAGGTGCAGTGCTACTGAACACACAGTGGGTGCTCAATAGATGCTTGATAAAGTCATTTATGCACTCTTTCCACACACATACACCATCCAGTGGTGGAGACTGGTCACAGACAAGATTCACATAAAATAAAGAAACACTAAGAAGTTTTCTGTCTGAGCAGGCACATGCGAGGCTGTGCCTTCCACTCCACTTTCGAAACTGCTGCTTCTTGCGTTGCTGTTTGCTGTCCTGATAAAAATAGGGCAGGCAGTGAAGTGGAGCATGACAGTTCCGATGCAGTCAGGGGACCTGGTTCTGGTCCCACTCAGCTCAGTGACCTTGGGCAGGCCACTCCCTCCTTGGACCTCGATTGCCCATGGGTCAGGTGAACGAGTCGGAGGCAGGGCTGCACCATCCAATCCAGTAGCTGATCACCTCAAATGTGGCTGGTGACACTCAGGAATTGAATTTGAAACTTTATTTACTTTTAGTTAATTTAAATTTGAAACAAGATACATGCTTCAGACAGGAGAATTTTTTTTTTTTTTCGAGACAGAGTCTCGGTCTGTTACCCAGGCTGGAGTGCAATGGTATGATCTCAGCTCACTGCAACCTCTGACTCCCGGATTCAAACGATTCTCCTGCCTCAACTTCCCAGGTAGCTGGAACTACAAGTACCCACCACCACACCTGGCTAATTTTTGTATTTTTTGCAGAGACGGGGTTTCACCATGTTAGCCAGACTGTTCTCGAACTCCTGACCTCAGATGATCCCCAGACCTCAGCCTCCTAAAGTGCTGGGATTACAGGCATGAGCCACTGCACCTGGCCATTTTTAAGTGCATTTGGAATAACTTGCATATGTGAACCTACTTTTTTTAATTGCAAATGTAATAAAATCTGAACATAGATCAAGTGTCTCACAGCCTGGCAAAATAGAGAGATACTGTCCCTATGAAAAACAAAAACATAAATTAGCCAGGGGTGTTGGGGTGCACCTGTAGTCCCAGATACTGGGGAGGCTGAAGTACAAGGATGGTTTGAGTCTGGGAGGCCAAGGCTGCAGTGAGTCATGATCACGCCACTGCACTTCAGCCTGGGCAACAGAGCAAGTCCCTGTCTCAAAAAAAATAAAGTATTTCTGGGAAAAATGTAGTATTGGGAATGGGACTAAGATATGCTGCAACCGTAACAGATTTCCAAGACTTAATTTTAAAAAGGTCATACCTTTAATATTGATTACATATTGAAATGATAGTAGATAGAATGGGTTACATAAAATATATTATGATGAATTTCACCTGTTTGCCTCCTTCATTTCTAGTGTGGGTACTAGAAAGTTGAAAGTTACCTATAGGTTTCACGTTCTTCTTCCACTGGACGTCGCTAGATTAAGGAATCTCTTAAGGTACTTCCTTTTTATTTTTATTATTCTGATATTCTACAAATCTACCAGGAATCATTAACTCCTATGGGTTTGCCTATCTGCCATCATATTCTTCCTCATCCCATTCCTCTGTTGGCACCTTGATTTTCCAAAGGAAAATTGCCTCTGTGGGATCTTTGCCCCAGCAATAAGAGTGAGCATATGGCCCAGGCCTGGCCAATCAGAGCAGAGCACTCTCCTTTGCCCACTGTGATTGGTTCAGAAATGACACATGACCAGCAGACAGAGCCAATGAGACTTTATTTGATTGCAAGTTTGGAAATAAGTTGGGCTTTTCCACTGGGGTTGTTAAGGAAGGGAGGGAGCCCTAGACCTACAGGTGCCCATCTTGCCGCCATGAGTGAGCAGCATGTCTGAGAAGGAAATCATTGAAAAGAAGGGGAAAACAGGAGTGAAAAGAGTCATAACCAGTCCCACTTTCTCTTCTGGCATTTTCACATGCCCCTCTCACACCCGGCCACCCCCCCCCCCCGCCCCCTACCTCCAAGGACCTGGCAAATTCTTCATCCATCCAGCCCCAGCTGGCCCTGTCAAGGTCACCAGTGGCCTCTGTGTTGCCAGATCCAGGGGTTACTTCTCTGTCCAGCTCTTGACAACATTCAACATAATTGACCATTCCCACCCTCTTCAAAGCTTTCTCTTTCTCTTGGCTTCCATGGTGCCTTATGCTCCTCCTCCTGCCTCACTAGCCACTTCTCAGTCTCTTCTTTCATGTATTTGTTTTTTCATGTGTTCTTTCTGCAAGTATGTACTAGGAGCCTTCTGTGTGCCAAGCCTTATGCAGGAGCAAAACTCCTGCCCTCATAGAGTGACTTTCTGGGCCAAGTCTTCCTTATTGATTCTCCACTTCTGCTCGGCCCCAAAATACTGTCATGTACTGAGGCTCAACTGAGAACCCCATACCTTTTCCATCTTATCCAGACTCACGGTTTAAATTCCATCCACATATCGATGACTCCCAGATGTTTATCCATAGCCGTGGCTGGGGCCCTGAACTCCAGACTCATATATCCAACTGCCTACTTGACATAACTACTGGGTTATCAACAAGCTGTCTCAAGCTTAATGTATTCAAAACATAACTATTGATTCCTCCATTGCCAGCCTCAACCTGTTTCTCCACTTGTCATTCTCCATCCCAGTCAGTGGTACCACATCCACCCAGTTGTTCAGGCCAAAAACCAAGAGTCATCCTGATTCCTATCTCTTCTCCTCACCCTCTTCTCATCAGCAAGTGCTGACAGCTCTGGCTCCAACGCGGACCCTGGAACTGCCACTTTTCTCTACTTCCGCTCCTATCACCCTAGTCCAAACCACCATCATCGCTGCCTGGACCACTATCATGACCTCCAAACTGGTTTCCCCTCTTCCATTCACGCCCACCTCGCCCTTCAACTCTTCATATCATAGCCAGATTGATGTTTTAACCATGTAAATCAAGTATCACTCCTCTCCTTAAAACCTTCCAGTAAAGAGCGTGGGCTATTTAGAGCATTTATGAAAGACAATGGATTAGTAATTCGATATATAAACAACTCCCACCACTCAGTTAGAAAAAAACAACCTTTTAGAAAACTGGGCGAGGGATACGGACTGTATTCACAAGAGAAGAAATTCCAAGACAATTCACAAGAGAAAAGCCAATAAATGGAAAATTACATGTTTAACCTCGCTGGTAATCAGGGAAATACAAATAAAAACGAGTTACCATTTTGTATCCAAAACACAGTCAAAAACTTTAAAGGCTGACTCTACCAGTTGTTGGCAAGGATATAAAGAAATGGGATGTTTGGGTGCTGCCATTGGGAATATAAAGTAGCATGACAACTTTGAAGAACCAAGTGACAACTTATAATGCTGAAAATAGGCACACCCTGCAACCTATTAATTTTCCACTTCAGAATCAGTTGTAATAATAAAAAACACGGTATGACCTAAGTATCTACCAATATGAGAATGGATGAATAAAATATGTGTGTGTGCCATATAATTCTATATAGTAAGTAAAAAGAAATTAACTAAAGTTGTACCTATAAAACATTGTCAGAAGAGGTGAGACATCAAAAGAAGGTGCACACTGCTTCCATTTGTGCAAATTTAAAATTCTAAACTTAGAAAAGAGAAATGGCCAGGTAAGGTGGCTCATGCCTGTAATCCCAACACTTTGGGAGGCCAAGGCAGGTGGATCACTTGAAATCAGGAGTTCAAGGCCAGCCTGACTAATAGGGTAAAACCCTGTCTCTACTACAAATACAAAAATTAGCTGGATGTGGTGTTGCACACTTGTCCCAGCTACTCGGGAGGCTGAGGCAAGAGAATCACTTGAACCCAGGAGGTGGAGGTTGCAGTGAACTGAGATCACACCATTCCACACCAGCCTGGTGACAAAAGGAGACGAAGGAAAGAAAGAGAGAGAGAGAGAAGAAAGAATGAAAAAGGAAGGAAGGAAGGAAGGAAGGAAGGAAGGAAGGAAGGAAGGAAGGAAGGAAGGAAGGAAGGAAGGAAGGAAGGAGAAAATGGCTTGTTTTTTATGCTTGAGGTAAATCCTAACTTCTTGCCCTGGGGCACAAGGTCTTTGCCCATCTCTCTAACTCCATCTTATCCCATCCCCTAAGCTGTGACCACTCTGGCCTTCATTCAGACATCCCTTAGCACAGCATTTTCATGCCCACCATCCAACCTGTCTTTGAACCTTACTGCCTCTGCCTAGCACTTAAACTTGATCTTCCCCTGAGCCTCTCTGTCACCTCTAGACATTCTTGTGTTTGTCTATCTATTTGCTTCTTCTGGGGCCAGGGTTTTCAGTTTCCATTGTTTTCTTAAAGGCATCTATGACACAAACACAGGAAAATTGTTTTTGTAACACTATCCTCTTTCCGTTGGGGTTATAACCGGACCAGGTCCTCTAGACTGTAGGCTGCTCGAGAGCTGGAGACTGCCGCGTCCGCCACTGTTTCCCAGAATGTGAGTGCAGGACCTGGTGTGTAACAGGTGAATCTCAGTGAAATCCTGAATGAATGACAAATGAATGAATGAGTGAGTGAAGGAATGCATGCATGCTTTTGGAGCCTGGAAATCAGGCCCATATTCACTCTCAGATCCTTTGGGTGCCTGAGATATCAGACACTGGAACAGACAGGGAACAGAAAGCTGTCCTCAGAGCAAGGAAGCCTAAATGCTTGGCTCCCTGAGGGACTCACAGGGCCCTGGAGGGGGCTCCCCTCTTGTTCATCCTGAGCCCAAGGCGATGGGTCAGGATCCGTTACTGCTGCACCCTGCAGAGACTGCCTACCTCCTCCCTCCACCTCGCCCCGGAAGGAAGGCTGCAGACGCAGCCTCCTCAAAGATGGCTTTGGTAGCAGGGGTGTTGCCCCCAAGATCAGTGCTATAAACAAACTCAGGCAGCCCCATGGAAACCCCACAACAAGGCACCCAAACAGAGACCAAACCCTTCTCAGGAAACTCAAGGGGTGAGGAGAGGTGTCTACTCCACCAGTGACTTAGGAATCTAGAAATTCCGGTGGGGCCAACTGAGCAAGGGGTGCAAGACACCCGGCCTCATTCCACAGAGAGAAATCCCAGGCTCCAAGACGAGTCCCCATTTTCCAGGTGGCTAGAGCCTTGTCCAAGGCCGCAGAATCCCACCCACATTCTTTATGGGGCAGGAGCAAGGGGTAAGGGGCACTTCCACCCAGAGAATAGTGGTTCCCCAACCTTTTTGTTTACTCTCAAAATGTATAGATTTTATGTATCTATAAGTTATAGAAAAATTCCATTTTTAAATATATATGCACATAAAAACAAAAGCTCGTTTTATGTATCCACCATGGTACACACCTCCCTGGGAAGTTTATGAAGGAAGTCTAAGCTGCTTCGTGGCTGGGCCCCCAGGTGTCACGAGAAATATTTAATACCACTGGCCACCATTGATTGAGGTCTACCACATGCCAGGGTTTGTGCTACATGATCTATATTTTTAAAAACTGAATCATCATAATACCTATGAGCCCCGCTTAACAGAAGAGGAAACAAGGCAGGGAAGGCCAGGTGACTTACCAAAGTCCCCTTGGCCAACCAGCGGCAGAGCTGAGATTCAAACACAGGTCATCTGATTCCTGCGACCCTAACCTCCACTTTAGAGGTGTCATTTATGAAACCCAACTCAGACACGTGGGGCTGCACCTGGTTTATATTCAGTTCTCACAGAAACCCTGGCAGGGGATCTACGTTTCTTTTCCCCTCTTACAGAGGAGCAGACTCGGGAAGACTAAGTAACCTGCCCTAGCTCACACAGAGAGGTTAAGTAACGGCAGAGACCCACATCTATCTGATTCCAACATTCTCCCACAGGGACTATTTTCCCAGTCAGGACTGAAGGCTAAGCCAGTTTGCCCACCTCCATTCACCACCCCCTATCTCTGTGTCCAGAGTACAGCCAAGACCTTCTCTAGGTTGAATTTCTCAGACACAAACCAGCACCTAAAACGATGACTGGCAAATAGTCTGAGCTTGATGAATGAATGAATGAATGAATGAATGAATGAATGAATGAATGAACAAATGAACTAGAGAACATGTAGATGAATAGATGAATTAATTTCCCCTGATGACATTCTCTCCTCTCAGAAAGAAAGAGTCTGTAATTTCCACCATGAGAGGCAGATCCAGGTGCCCACCAAACACTTCCATGAGGTCTGGAGACCATGAAGAGCTGTGGTCTAGGATGTGGCCTCACCATGTGTTTCTGGAGAAGGAGCCCTGTTGTTTCCACAATAACCCAGCCTTGGTCCACAGAGCCTATTTATGCTCAGATTTTCACTGGCTTCTCTCCACGGCTGTGGTGAAGTAGGTACTGCCCTCCGTTTTACAGGTTGAACAGCCTGCAGCCCAGAGTGGGGAGGTGAATTGTCCAAGGTCACACAGGAAATGGGCGGCAGAGTCAGGGGCTCACCTTTCTTCGCACTTTCTCCTCCAGCCTACTTCTGTGTATTGGAATCTGACCTTAAGTCACCATGGTTGAGGGATGGAATTAGAGGTTCATCCCAAATCCACAGGTCAGGAAGCAGCATCCTACTCCTCTTTTAGAGAGAAATAAAATGGAAAGAGACACTGCAAGGGATCCCAGCCAGGCAGCACAGCCAGGGCTAGAGACCTCCGGAGAGCCACAGGGTGTGTCCCAGACAGTCAGGCTAGGAACCAGGAAGAACCGGGGGCATCACCCAGGGATGGCAAAACAGGCACAACCCAGTAACAGGTAGCCCCAAGAACCAAGGCAAGCAGAATCAGCAATGGGCCCTTCCTCTCCCCTCCCACTCACCCCTCCTGGTGGGGCACAGTATCACTGGAGAAGCCAGATGCCGGATGATGGGCTGGGAGGGCAGAATGTTTCCCTAGAATGGGCATGGTGCTGCGGTGCCTGGCCCTGCTGCCAACCCAACCCAGCCCAGCCCAGCCAGGCCCTCACCAGACAGCCAAGCACAATGGCCCTCTCAGGCAGACAGACAATTCAACCCTTTCAGGCCGAAGGCAGCCGGGTTGGCATTCCCTGCACCTCTGTTTCTCTCTGGCTTCTGTAAGTGAATCACTAAGAATTAATGACCCTGGGAACAATGAACGGGGAGCAGGTTTGGGTTCTTCTTGAGCAGACAGAAGACTGGATCCTAGGAACACCATTGCATTCCTGCTGATGGAGACCGGAGCAGTGGATGTTCCAGGGTCATGGATGCATGCTCAAGAGTGCACAGAATCATTACTGTGGCCATCCGAACCACAGAGCATGAGGGCCACAGCCTCATGGATTATTTGAGCCACTGATTGTTCTAATCACACAGCCACAGAAATCCAGTGTCTCAGAACCAGCAATTTCTAGAATCCTAGAATCACTAGCTTAAGGAACCACAGGCTTCCAGGACCATCAGTCATCAGTTGCCAGAACCCAGCTCCTTGGAGCAGGAAAAGAGCTGCTGGTTTGAGAGATGGTTGGAGACCATCCTGTTGGAGGCCTCATTCTGCAGTTAGGTAAACCAAATCAGCTGATCAAGGTCGCAAAGCTAGGGCTAGTATCCAGGCCTTGCCACCCCCTGCCCTCACTTCATTCTAAAGAATGGGGCAGGAGTGGCAACAACCTCAGCTCCTGGACACTCAGAGTTTAGCCTGGTCCCCTTGGAAGGAATATCTGACACTGCCAGCGCACTTGTGGTCATGCCCTTCCACTGCACCCGAACCAGAAGCTTTGTGGACTCTGATGGCAGGATGATGTGTTTTGCAAGTCTGGACAGGCCTGGATTCTTTTAACCAATCCTCCACTTCCTCACCTAATAAGGGAGAATTGTGCAACCTTATGATATTACCTGGGGCTCTGCCTACTGGTGATCACACAGGAGAGAGAGCCAGTCCTCCTGGGTTTCAGCCTAAGAGACCCATTGCCTCATCAGGGTCACTTCAGTTCAGTGCCAAGCCACAGAAGGAAATCCAGCCTCACTTTCTAAAGGCCTATCACATGCTAGGCTCAGGAAAGTTACTAAGATGAGAGACACACTATGCCCACCTTTGAACCCCTTAGAGTCCACTGAGACAGTCAGATATCTATGTGATTATATTAATATGTCAAGGCAGGACTGATGGTAATACACAAAGAAGAGACAGAAATTAAGAAAAGCTTCATGAGAGAAGGGTAGCATTTACACAGAGCCATTCAATCGCTTTTCTACACATCACTTCCCGACTTCTGCTTCTGGCTGTGATAAAGTAACAAGGACTGGACTTACCTTCCCACCCAAAGCAACTAAAAAACTGAACAAAATCAGCCAGGCATGGCGGCTTACACCTGTAATCCCAGCAGTCTGGGAGACTGAGATGAGCAGATGACCTGAGGCCAGGAGTTCAAGAGCAGCCTGACTAAGATGGTGAAACTCCGTTTCTACTAAAAATACAGAAGAAAAAAAAAATTCGTCGAGCGTAGTGGTGCACAGCTACTCGGGAGACTGAAGTATGAGAATCACTTGAACTGGGGAGATGGAGGTTGCAGTGAGCCAAGATCATGCCACTGCACGCCAGCCTAGGTGACAAGAGTGAAACTCTGTCTAAAAACAAAACAAACGACAACAAAAAACTGAACAAAATACATGAAATAACTGTTTGCAATCATTGAAAAACAGGAATGACCTGACGTGACTCCTAAGAGAAAATAAACAAATGAAAAGAGTCCTGTGTTTGCCTTGCTGGTTTTTGTGGTGGTGGTGGTGGTTTTGATATGAAGTTTCACTCTGTGGCTCAGGCTGGAGTGCACTGGCATGATCTTGGCTCACTACAACCTCTGCCTCCCAAGTTCAAGTGATTCTCCTGCCTCAGCCTCCCAAGTAGCTGTGATTACAGGCGCACACCACTACACTTAACTAATCTTTGGATTTTTCGTAGAGATGGGGTTTCACCATGTTAGCCAGGATGGTCTCCATCCCCTGACCTCATGATCCACTCACTTCAGCCTTCCAAAGTTCTGGAATTACAGACATGAGCCACCACATCCAGCCAGGTTGTCTTCCTGGAGTTGTATTCCAGACCATGGCATACCAAGCAGAATATAGTACTTTTGCAGAACTGAGGATTTGGAGATTGGAGTTCAGGGCTTCAGTCAGAAGTTGTGTGGCACAGTTTTAGAAAGAAAGATGCTCTGCAGAAAATGAATTCTGGAAATCTGCATGGGATCTTTTTGAGTTGTTGCTGAGTCCTAGGTCACACATACAATGTGTGTGTGTGCGATCAAACCCAATGAGACTAGGCAAAGAACAACTTGAAAGCTGCAAGCTGAACAATCCCCAGAGTTGGCACAGGACAGGAGACATTGCAGCCATTTAGAGAGGTAAGAACTCATTGAAAATCCATGCAAAGCTGGGCATGGTAGCTCACACCTAAAATCCTAGCACTTTGAGAGGCCAAGGCAGGAGGATCTTTTGAGCCCAGGAGCTTATAGCCTGGGCGACATAGTAAGACCCTGTCTCTATTTAACAACAAAGAAGAAAGAAGAAGAAGAGGAGGAGGAGGAAAAAGAAGAAGAAGACAAAAAGAAAATTTATTCAGTGGAGACTCCATAGAGGTCATGCCTTAGTAGCAAGCTGAGCTATCTCTAGCATGAAGGCCAGGTCAGACCAGCCATACCAAAGCTTAAAAACAGGCTTCACGAGGTCAAGAGATCGAGACCATCCTGATCAACATGGTGAAATCCTGTCTCTACCAAAAATACAAAAATTAGCTGGGCATGGTGGCACGTGCCTGTAGTCCCAGCTACTAGGGAGGCTGAGGCAGGAGAATTGCTTGAACCGAGGATGTGGAGGTTGCGGTGAGCCAAGATCACACCATTGCACTACAGCCTGGGTAACAAGAGTGAAACTTTGTCTCAAAAAAAAAAACAGGCTTCAAGGGGATCGAGCTGACTTGCAAGTAACTTAGGTCTCTGATAGAACAAAGCCCAGCATTCTTTTAAAGGAAGACAACAAAATTGAGACTCTCCATAATGAAACATTCACAAAATCTAGCATCCAGTCGAAAATTCTGTACATACCAAGAAGCAGAAAAATGTGACCCATAGTTAGAAGAAAAATTAGTCAATAGAAGTGTACCCAGAAATGACAGAAATTATGGAACTAGCACACAAAGATGTCAACACAGTTATTACAAGTATGTTGACTTATTTATGGGAAAAAATCATCATAATGAGAAGAAAAATTGAAAATATAAAAAATAATTAAGTGGAACTTCTAGAGGGGAAAAAATATGATTCTAAAATGAAAAATTCATTGGATGGGATTACCAGGAAATCAAACACTTCAGAAGAAAAGATCATTGGCCCTATAGGTACAGCAATAGAATTTATCTAAAATGAAGCATAGAGAGAATAAAAAAGCCTGGAGAGAAAAATGAGCAGAGCCTAGTGACCTGTAATAAGACATTAAATGGTCTAATATATGTAATTGAAGTTCAAGCAGGAGAAGGGAAGAGAGAGATAGTAACAGGAAATATATTGAAGAAATAATGGCAGGAAATTCTCTAAATTTAAAAAAAAAAACAAAACAATAAATCCACAGATCCCAGAAGCTTGATAACCTGCAAGCAGAATAAATACAAAACTTCACACCAAAGTATATCATAATCAAATTGCTAAAGCCAGTGATAACAAGAAAATCTTAAGAGCACACAGAAAAAAAGACATTTTACATACAGAGAAACTATGACAAAAATCGACAGATTTCTCCTCATAAACGATGCAAGCCAGAAGACAATGGAACCTCTGTAAAGTATTGAAGAAAAAAAAGCTGTCAACCTAGCATTCCACATCCAGCAAAAATACCCTTCAAACAACAACAAAAAAGAGAAATAAAAACTTTTTCAGGCAAACAAAAGATGAGAGAATTTGTCACCAGCAGACCTGCACTACAGGAAATAGTAAAGGAAGTTTTCCAAGTGAAAGATAAATGATACTGGGTGGAAACTTGAATCAACACAAAGGGCTAAAGAGTGGCCAGAGACAGGAAACATGTCAGTAGACGTAAAAGGTTTTCCCCTCGTTTTTCAACTTCTTAAAATATGCCTATTTAAAGCAAAAACAATAACAGTGTATGGGGATTTATAAGGTACATAAAAGCAAAATGTATTACAACTATATCACACAAAACACAGAATATGGAATGGAAGTATGTCTACATTTCTTACATTATCTGTTGTAGTTTATTTTTGTTGTGTCGATTAAGCTTAGCTACATTCTTAGAATTCCTTTCTCTGTATAGTTTGAATTGGCGTGGATCACTAGAGACATTTGCACAATATTTGCAAGGGGGAGCAAAGCAATAGCTGCCTATGTTTTGTTTTTGTTTTTGTTTTTTTAATCTCAAAAAGCTGGAGAAGGGATGCCAGGTGCTGTCGCAGCTCACATATGCTGTCACTTAACGACTAGGTCACCTCATTGTCATGAGGTAATAGCTGGGTCCACAGCTCTCCCAGTTTCTTCTGGGTCGTCCTTCAGCATGCCTGACTCCTGACCCAGGTGCAGCTTCATGATGAAAAGCCTCACTCTCTCCTGTAGGTTATCTCATCATTGAAGTTGGCCTCATGGAAGGGGTGAGAGACCACATGCAAGTTCTAGTTTGTTCCGGCTCTTCCCTATTGTTTCCCAATGTAAATGCATCTCCCCTTCCCAAGTGCCTCCACTGCACTGGCAGTATAGCAGGAAGACACACAAAAAATAGCCTTTTATAGACTGTGTAGCCAACTCCATATCATTGTGTAAGGACAAATTCCTAAAATAAATCTCTGATTTTATATCACTCTCAGCAGTTTTGTTTCTCTGATTGAACCCTAACAAATATGTAAAATGGCATAATCTTTTGTGAACATTATAAGTTAAAGTGCATATTATTATTATTATCATTGTTATTTTGGAGTAGAGAGTTCCCTCTATCACCCAAGCAGGAGTGCAGTGGCATGATCATGGCTCACTTCAGCCTCAATCTCCTGTACTCAAGTGATTCTCCTGTCTCAGCCTCCTGAGTTGCTAGGACTACAGGCGTGAGCCACATACCTGGTTCCTAAAGATGCATATCATTAACCCTAAAGCAACTCCAAAAAAAAAAAAGAGAGTGAAAATAGAATGGAATAATTTAAAAAAAATAATAACTAATCAAAAGGAGCCAGCCAAATGAAATTTAAGAAACGAAGAAGAGATGGGATAAACAGAAGGCAAATAGAGAGATGGAGGATTTAAGCCCAATCATATCAATAATTACATTAAAAGCAAATTATCTAAATAGTTACATTTAAAGGTGGAGATTGTCACATTAGAGTTTAAGAAAAGAAAACAAGACCTAGTTATATGCTGTCTACAAGAAACCCACTTTAACTATAACGACACAGATAAGTTAAATGTAAAAAGATGAGAAAGTACTAGGAAAACACTAATCTTAAGAAAGCTGGAGACCAGGTGCAGTGGCCCATGCCTGTAATCCCAGCACTTTGGGAGGCCAGTGTGGGCAGATCACCTGAGGTCAGGAGTTTGAGACCAGCCTGGCCAACATAGTGAAATCCCATCTGTACTAAAAGTACAAAAATTAGCTGGGCATGGTGGCAGTGCCTGTGATCCCAGCTACTCAGGAAGCTGAGGCAGGAGAATCACTTGAACCCAGGAGGCAGAGGTTGCTGTGAGCTGAGATCATGCCACTGCACTCCAGCCTGAGTGACTAGAGCAAGACACCATCTCAAAAGAAAGAAAGAAAGAAGAAAGAAAGAAAGAAAGAAAGAAAGAAAGAAAGAAAGAAAGAAAGAAAGAAAGAAAGAAAGAAAGAGAAAGAGCTGGAGTGGCTATAACACCAAATACAGTAGACTTAAGAATAAGGGTTATTGTCAGAGATTAAGAAGGACATTTATTAATGAGAAAGGGATCAATTAATCAAGAGGATATAACTCTCCTAAGTATGAATGTGCCTAATAGCAGAGCTTCAAAATACTTGAAGCAAAAACTGACACACCTGAAACGAGAAATAAACAAATCCATACTCAGAGTCTGAAAAGTCAACATTTCCATAATTGATAGAACAGGTGACAAAAAGTCAGCGAGGATCTGGAAGACTTGAACACTGTCAACCAACTTGAACTAAGTGACATTTATAGAACACCCCACCCAGCAACAGACGACACATTATTTTCAAGGGCACACAGAGCATTCACCAAGATACGCCAAAAGCTGGGCTGTAAACAAGTCTCAGTATATTTCAAAGAGCTGAAATCACCACACTGATTCTGAAGAAGAAAAAAAAGATAAGAGAACGCACAAGTTCTTTTAACTCAAAGATAGAAAAGAAAAACTTTCTATACAATGCAAATGAGTCATCTTTGCTGAGGAAGAGTGATAGCAATGGATTACTCCAGTGTGTCTTAACACCTAACTTCTCTCAAACCAGGCCATGAATCAGACGAGACTTCCAGACCAGGGGAGCATGTCACGGGAGGACTCAAGAGAGGTTGCTGATAACAGTGGCTTTAGTCAAGAAACAGGCCAGTATATAGCCAGTTCCCTGAGTTCCTGTGACAAATCCCACTTCTATACCACCCCCCGGGTGTCCCTTAGGCACCTCAGTGTTTCCAAAACCAAGCCAACAGCATATTCCCAGCCTCCCAGAGCCCCCGCCTTTATCCCTCCTTCTCAAAACACTCGTTTATCCTGAATGATCCGTCTTGGTTAATGACACCACCCAGAAACTTGCAGGTGTCTTCAATTCTGCCTCTCCTTCAGTCTTCACTTGGTTAGTCAGTCACCGAGCCCTGTGTGATCTCTCATTGATCTCTCCAACCCATCTTCTCTTCCCTCCTCACCGCTACCGCCAAGTCCAAGCCCCTTCTCATTTCTCATCATCTTCTCCAACTGCCTCCTCCTCCTCCCACCCCCGCAGCCGTGCTCGGCCCTGCTGGCCAATGGACTCTCAACTTTGTTTTTCAAGTCTTAAAAGTCACGCAACAGTACATCTATCGTGTCAAAAAATGTTTCGTACAAGCAAGCAAAACTCAAAATAAATTAATAAATAGAAGTAAAAGCAAATTTTAACTTAAAAGCCCACTACCATCCAGCAACAACCAGTCTTCACATTTTGGATTACCAGCCTTCTGACCCTTTCCTAAACATTCATTTTTGATTTTCCCCAAATGGGATTGTTCTAGACATTCGATTAGGGTGACCCAGTTCACCTGGGACTGTCCCGGCTTTTGCACTGAAGCTCCTGTGTTCCAGAAAACCACTCAGTCCTGCGCAAACCGGGATGGTTGGTCTCCCTACAACTTTCCCATTTAATAGATTAGCACCTTTTGATGTTAATAATAGACAGCTATGTCTTCATTTTAATGACTATAGGAATACCAAAGCATATAAATATCTAAGTGGGTTTTTAAAAACTGCTCTCTTCTACTTACCATCCCTTCATGCACCCCATGGTTTTGAGTGGTAAGTTCCAAAGTGGGATGGAGGGAAATCCACGGAATTCGTAGGAAAAGGCATTGGCTTAGGGAGAAAGAGTAGCAGAAGTTCTATTGATATGTATTGCTTTTTTCATCATCATAGCTCACTATAGCCTTAAACTCCTGGGCTCAAACAATCCTTCTGCCTCAGCCTCCCGAGTAGCAAGGACTACAGGTGTGTTCAACCACACCTGGCTAATTTTATTATTACTTTTGTAGAGATGGGGTCCCCCTGTGTTGTCCAGGCTGGTCTTGAACTCCTGGCCTCAAGTGATCCTCCTCCCTTGGCCTTCTAAAGCACTGGGATTACAGCTGTGAGCCATCATGCCCAACTCCACATGTATTTTTTAATCTCATGGTTTTCGTTTTTCTATTTTTGTGTGTTTTACAGTGTATGTGATACATGTGTACAGTAGTGCATGCATATAACTTAGGTATAAATAGCCGGGCACGGTGGCTCACGCCTGTAATCCCAGTACTTTGGGAGGCCGAGGCAGGTGGATCACGAGGTCAAGACATAGAGACCATCCTGGTCAACATGGTGAAACCCCACCCCTCCTAAAAATACAAAAAAAATAGCTGGGCATGGTGGCACGTGCCTGTAATCCCAGCTACTCAGGAGGCTGAGGCAGGAGAATTGCCTGAACCCAGGAGGCGGAGGTTGCGGTGAGCCGAGATTGCGCCATTGCACTCCAGCCTGGGTAACAAGAGCGAAACTCTGCCTCAAAATAAATAAATAAATAAATAAATAAATCTCCAGGTAATGGAGGATTTTTTGTTTATTTTTATCAACCTTCAGTGTCTCCAAAGGTTGGAGACACTGGCCCAGCTGATAAAACATTCCCTCTTTAGCAGTCCTGGAACGTCCAGCATAGTCAAAGCTTTGCTTGTCTCTCCAGTTTCATCTGCTGCCTCCCCCACTGATACAGTTTGGATGTGTCTCCACCCAAATCTCATCTTGAACTATGGCTCCCATAATTCCCATGTGTTGTGGGAGGGACCCGTTGGGAGATAATTGAATCATAGGGGTGGTTTTTTCCATGCTGCTCCCGTGGTAGTGAATAAGTCTCACGAGATCTGATGATTTTGTAAGGGAAACCCCTTTGGCTTGGTTTTCATTCTATCTTGTCTGCTGCCATATAAGACATGCCTTTTACCTTCTGCCATGATTGTGAGGCCTCCCCAGCCGCATGGAACTGTGAGTCCACTAAACCTCTTTTTCTTTATAAATTACCCAGTCTCGGGTATGTCTTTATCAGCAGCATGGAAACAGACTAATATACCCATCTCCCAGCAAGCCACACAAAACCATATCTGTTCCCTGAATATCTGTATTTTCCCCTCCAAGTGGTTCCCATCACCCCGTCCCATTCACCTCCTGGCTAACCTCCGTAATTCCTCCATTGCAGCTCACAGGCTAACCCAGGTCAGATACCACCTCTGCCAGGAAGTCTTTCTGGAACACTCCTCCTCTCAAGCCTGTCCCATCCAGGTTAGGTGCCCTCCCTCTGCGTTTCCATAGCACCCTGTGCTTACCTACACCACAATGCTGGTTTAGTAATTGCCTGTTTCACCCTTTGTGACTTCCCCTGAATCCCTGGTGGCTGCCCAGCCCAAAGTCTGTCACATAGGCATCTCCTAGTAAATCATAAAAGAATAAAGAAACAATAACAGCACACACATATATAGCACTTTTCAAATGCCAGACACTGTTGTGAGGCTGCAAATGCCAGACACTGTTGTGAGGCTGCAATTTTCATACATTAGAGGAAGGTCTTTTTGTTGCCTCCACTTTACACATCAGGCAACAAAAGCACAGAGAAGCCAGTGGCAGAGCTGGGCTTTGAACTCAGGCAAACTGGCTTCAGAGTCCATGCTAGCCGTCATTATTCTACGATGTCACTCAGCTGAAGAACGAAGGAATAAATGAAGGAACAAAAGAATGAACAAAGGAAGAAGTAAAGGAATGCCCGGGGGCCTGGCCCCAGGCTCCTTTGCAGACATAAACCAATTGCCCTGTCTTTAGGTTGCCCTTGTGAGTAACCATCTGATGCCATTTTTCATATTTTACTTGCCACTTGTGGAGGCACCAGAAGTTTGTCCCTCCTCCCTCCTCACCCCTGTACCAGCATCAACCAGACCTTCCTCCCTTCCTGACTCCTCCATTGCAGCTCAGAGGGTAATGAGCATCCGTACTACAGGACCATAGTGTATTAGAGCTGGAAGTACACTTAGCACTATCCAGTCCAATCTTCCATTTTGTAGATGGAAAAACAGAAGCCCAGAGAGGCAAAGCAAATTCCCCAAGGTCACACAGCAAGTTAGTGGCAGAGTCAAGAGTGGGCCCAGTCTCCTGGTTTTCCGTCTGTCTCCCTTTACTAAGCTGCCTCTGTTTATTGTTTGAGCTTCATCAGTCAAAAGCCATTTGGGGCAAAGCACAACAGATAGATTTAGAGATTTCTCAAATGCACTGTTGAGAAAAGTTTCTGGGAATCGGGAGGTGATAAATGGAAGGTCAAGGCCCTGCAATTTCCTCCAGGCAGAGAAATAAATAACCAAACCCATCACTGAGGACTCACCATGTGCTAGATGCTTCTCTGCATTATCTTATTTCATCCTCCGTCAGATAGTAACTATCCTGGTTTTAGATACAAGCAAACTGAGGCTCAGAGACATAAACAGAGTGACCAACGCATCCCCAGTTTCTTGGCACTGTCACAGTTTTAAAACTGAAAGCCCCACGTCTTGAGAACCCCTTTAGTCTCAGACAAACCAGGACAGTGGGTCACCCTCGAGGTAAGCAGCCTGCCCAGAGGATTGGATCCCAGAGATCCAAGCCCAGGTCTTCCGTGGATTCCCAGGCCCTTTCTCCCACACTACGCTGCACCCTCTGGGGAAATACATAAACTTGCGAGGGAAAAATAGACAAGCAAGTGGAGTGGGGGAGGGTGGGAAGTGGGCCAGAGGATGGTGGACACCAAGGGGCTGTTCTGAAGTCAGGTCAGCCCTGGGTCACTGCAGCCCAGCCATCTGGGAGGTACAGTGCTACTGGGTGTCGGACCAGGGCAGGACAAACGAGGTTTTTCTTCTTTTCTCTTTATCTGGAGGAGTCTATTTACTGCAATAACCCTGGTACCTCAGCCAGGTCTCTGGTCTCTTACCAGGCTGTGAAAAGGGGTTTGGGGTCCGAGGCTCTGACCAGACTAGTTTCCCTGGGACCCTGGCGTGCTCGCTCTCCTATCCTGACAACCTGATTTGGGTGAGGGAGGCACGATGAGCGCCGCAGGGCAGGGGACCCCTGCCAACCCATGGATGCCACAGGGAGATCAGGACCCCACACTTGAACAGTGGATTTCCCTGTCACCAGAAGAGGACTTGAGAGTATCCAACCACCTTCTGGGAGCCAGACTCCTGACTGCTCTGGTCTCTTTCAACCTTCTCCCTAAAGCACTCTGACAGGAATCCTCACCTCCACCCTACAGAAGTGGAGGGAATGTCCCTCAGTGAAGTCACACAGCGTGTTGGTGACACAGGGCACCCAGGGCAGAGCAGTGACCCCGACTCTCCCTGCCTTCCAAGCCTCGGCACGAGGCTGTAAAACAGTGGCAGAGAGACAGACTCTGTCCTGGGTGTGTGTCTGTGTGGCTTGCTTCCCACACCACACCTGCCTGGACACCTCTCCCACCCTCCTCCACCGGGTGATTTGTCCTCATCCCAAGACCTCAAGCGTGGCCTCCCCCTATCCTCAGGCTGAGGTGAGTGCCTGTCTTACAACTCAGGGTGATCTGTGCTGAGGCAACCACAGTTTGTGGGGCTTGGGGTATAAAAAGCACCTGTCTGACCCCTTCTGCACTAAGAGACCCCAAAAGGACAGGAACTGACTCCCTATCCCAGCACTGATGTATTTGATTGGTGCAAAAGTAATTGCATTAAAAGTAATGGCAAAACCTGAAATATTAAGTAGTTTTTGCCATTACTTTTTTTTTTTTTTTTGAGACAGAGTCTCACTCTATTGCCCAGGTTGGAGGGCAATGGAGCGATCTCGGCTCACTGCAACCTCAGCCTTCCAGGTTCAAGCGATTCTCCTGCCTCAGCCTTCTGAGTAGCTGGGACTACAGGCATGCATCACTACTCCCTGCTAATTTTTGTATTTTGTTTCACCATGTTGGCCAGGCTGGTCTCGAACTCCTGACCTCATGATCTGCCCACCTCAGCCTCTGAAAGAGCTGGGATTACAGGCGTGAGCCACCACACCTGACCTGCCATTACTTTTGATTGTAATTCATGTAATTACTTTTGCACCAACCTAGTATATCAGTGCTGGGGACAAGGAGTCAGTTCCTGTCCTTTTAACTTGCATTAAAAGTAATGGCAAAAGTTACTTAATACTTATTTGTTGCACAAATAAATAAGTAGATTAATGAATGAATTGCCAAATATTCTTGAGCTCCAATTTCAACCAGGTGGCATCCTGAAGGCAACGGCCCACCTAAAAGTCTCCCAGCAGCTGCCTCGGTTCCGCTCCCTCTCCCACCCTCCCATGGGCCTTCATCTGTCACCACTTGACTCAAAGTGTGGTCCCCAGATCCACAGCACCAGCATCACCAAGAGCTTGTTGGAAATTCAGTAGCTCAGCCCCCGCCCCAGACCCCAGGCCCTTGAGTAAGAGCTTGAAACTGTTAGAAATTGTGATATATTATCTTAGGTGAGCCTTGCTACAAACCCTACTATGTGCTGGCATTATTCTCATAGCTACAGATGAAGCTGGGGTTCAGGGAGAGGAAATACCTTCTCGATTAAACAGCCAGGAAATGGTAGAGATGGGATTTAGACTTGGGCTTGTCTCTCTTCAAAGTGGACGGAAATGAACGCAGCTATCCATGTAGTGAAAGGAAGAGAGAAACCTGCATGTAATGAACATCCACAACCTGCCAAGTCCCTTATGACTGTCTCATTTCATCTTCCCCACTCCCTTACAAAGGAGGGGATTTTGCATCCTCCTTTTACAGATGAGACTCTGAGGCTCAGGAAGGGGAGGTGACTTGCCCAAGGTCCACAGCTGGGAAACAGCTGAAATGGGGCGCAAAGCTGGAAGTCTGCTCCCCGCCTTGGGGGATGGACACCAGGTGACAATAGACAGTGTCCTTTGGCGGCAGCAGGTGCTGGCTCTCAGGGGACTGTGGGGCCACTGCTCACCTCACACCTGTCCTCCCTTTCCCCTGAGAGACCTTGTGGCCTTGGGCCTCATCCATGCTTGCTTGCTTGCTTGCTTTCTTTCTTTCTTTCTTTTTTTTTTTTTGAAATTTAAAGAAAAAATTTGTTGAAGATCTGAAAAACAATTCCTAAAAGATGGACTTTTCTAGAAAACAAGCTACACAATGCCTCATGTCCATCATATTAAAACGTGCATTAGACACAAATACGAAACCGTGAAACAAGCCACCGTTCTCCAAGGCTTTGAGCAAAGACGCAATGCCTAAATTACAGCATGGATGACTTGGGAAGGATGAACTAACTCTCTTTAAGCACCGTTAAAAAAAGAAAAAGGATATCAGCCCTTTGTCAGGTGGGTAGATTGCAAAAATTGTTTCCCATTCTGTTGGTTGCCAATTCACTCTAATGATGGTTCTTTTGCTGTACAGAAGTTCTGGAGTTTAATTAGATCCCATTTGTCTCCCTGGCTTTTATTGCCATTGCTTTTGGTGTTTTAGTCACGAAGTCCTTGCCTATGCGAAAGAACTATAAATCGTTCTGCTATAAAGACACATGCACATGTATGTTCAATGCAGCCCGGCATACAATAGCAAAGACCTGGAACCAACCCAAATGCCCATCAATGATAGACTGGACAAAGAAAATGTGGTACATATACACCATGGAATACTACGCAGCCATAAAAAACAATGAGTTTGTGTCCTTTATAGGGACTTGGATGAATCTGGAAATCATCATTCTCAGCAAACTGACACAAGAACAGAAAGCCAAGCACCATATGTTCTCACTCATAGGTGGGTGTTGAACAATGGGAACACATGGACTCAGGGAGAGGGAGCATCACACACAGGGGACAGTTGGGATGTAGGGGAGAGACAATGGGGGGGTGGGGAGGGAGGGGGTGGGGAGGGATAACATGGGGAGAAATGCCAGATGTAGTATGCATCTAAAGTAAAATAAATAAATTATTTAAAAAAAAACCTTTAAATAAAATAAGTAAAATTGTTCTTTAAAAGAAAAAAAAAAGGAGCGGCTGGGCACAGTGCCTCACACCTGTAATCCCAGCACTTTGGGAGGCTGAGGTGGGCAGATCACAAGGTCAGGAGATTGAGACCATCCTAGCTAACATGGTGAAACCCCGTCTCTACTAAAAATACAAAAAATGAGCTGGTGTGGTGGCATGCACCTGTATCCCACCTACTCAGGAGGCTGAGGCAGGAGAATCGCTTGAATCCAGGAGGCGGAGATTGCAGTGAGCCTAGATCGTGCCACTGCACTCCAGGCTGGGGGACAGAGTGAGACTCAGTCTGAAAAAAA